AACTGTCATGACTCAATGCTATGGAATCCTGGGACTCATAGTTTTACAAGGTCTTTAGCCTTCTGTGCTGAAGAGTGATGCGTCTTGCCCAACTACAAGTCCATAGCATTGAGCCATGGCAATTAGTGGTGTTAAACTTCATTAAATCTACTGGGTAAGCATGCTCTAAGGAAAAAATAACTTGTAGCTTCTTGGTGGTGGAATTGTGTGCTCCAGTGACACAAGAAGTTATGTTTCTGGTAAAAGTAGTGCCAGTAGGGTTTCAGTCAGGATTCTGCTAGGGACAAGGCTAAATGTGCCAATGAAGTGTGAGGCAGCAGGAGCAGTGTGTGAGTGACACTGACAGATAAACTCTCAGAGGCATATTAGCTAATTCTGACAAGAGTAATGGCAGTTTAGCCAATAAATGATTTTGTGCTGCACAGAAGACAGCAGCGCTAGACTGTTTCTGAACTCCTTTTGACTCAACAATCGTATAAAGAGACAATTCAAGAACAAATAGAACAAATAGAGCAGTAAAATGAGACTCCTAGGTTTGCAGTGAGCATACTGTTCACTTCAAAATTCATTTCATTCGCTCTCCCACTTCATTTCTTGAGTCCAGGTCAAATTCTTATACAATGTTTGGAACTGCTCTCTTTCCAGTTACCTGTGATAAGTAACATGCTCTGCTTGGCTGTGTGATCAATTCCTTTCTGGATTTCTGCATAGAAATTTCATTTTCTTCCTTATCTGCCTCTTTGGAGCACAAATTTGGATTACAATTATATTTATTAGTTTTTTTTATGAAGTCAAGTTTATATTATTAGGCCAGACTTCAGAATTGATTCACGGACTGCTTTTCTACATCTGGTCTTCACAGTTAATACCACCCCATTTCTTTGATTGCCACTTCCAAAGATATACACTGTATGAAAATCTCCAGTTCCTGTTCACACCAAGTATGACTATTCCTAGGTGTAACATTTCTTGTTTTATGATTTCTAGTTCATCCTTCTTGCACTCCCATGTTCCTACTACCTACATACATCACATGGCATCTGACTTTTCTTTCACTTCTGTGTATGTCAGCAGCTGAACATTCAGCTTGAATTCAACATTAGCCACAGGGCTACTCATACTTCCCTCTGCTCTTCCCTGTTCACTGGTTTAGTGCATTTCAGCCTAGAAGTCTCATCTTCCTGTTTTATCTCTTGATTTACCCATAGAGTTCATCATTGCGTTCTATGCAATACTGATAAGGATTAATTAAAAGCCACTACCATTGACTCTGAAGAGATCTCATGCCAGTGTCACCTGCACCCCTTGCTACTGCTGCAGCCCAGTACTGTTTGGCATGCTTAGTCTGGCTCTGCAACTAAAGTCTAGATGATTGGGAGATCCTACCAATAGTGATGCTATGATCAGCATATCCTCTTGCTACATAGGAGCAGTCAGTCCAACTACTATGGAAAGATAATGCCATAGTGGGATAGTGTAGATAGTATTAATTAGAAGTCTGGCTTTCTATTCTCATCATTCAGATACACATGTAAAGATGTACATGATACAATGACACTAGATATTTGAGTATCAGCTGTGTTGGAAGTTGGCACTGCAGATATACAATAAAAAAGTTATGGTGTTGAATTTGTTCTAAGGGAAATATAAAACAGATATACTTTTTCAGCATCTTGAGAGATTTTCTCACTGTAGTGCAAATTGTTACTCAATGGCATCCTTTAAAAATTTGCTCTAGCTATTTGTACAAGACAATGGTTAGTTTATGTGTATTTTTTGTACTGATCAGCCACTACGGTTTAGGGACATCTTTTATCACAAATTAAATAGAGGCAAGATTTTTGAGTTTTGTCATTTCACATGGGACAAGCAGTTGGACCAGTATGTCCATCTATTATTAGATATAATCTGAAGTTGATTAGCTGTGGCACAGAAATATCTATTAACTATGTCCAGATAAAACTGGATCTAGGTGGACTGTTTGTTTGAGGAATGTATACATCTGTTCATAGACGAACAAACAAGTCTTGACTGTCCTTTCATTATTAATTTTTTTTACTCATATAGGAAGATTTTTTGAAGACATCTTCAAAGCATTTTTATAAATGCATACAGTGTCAGCATAACAAAGTGGAACGACGTAGATTTAAGATTAAAGGAGGCTATGATATTAGAAGTGACAAGCAGCAAAATATGACAAAAGGGAGCAGTCAACCAAAATCAGTTCCCTCAAAGGGTTTTGAAATGTACATCTGTATGACACACACTGTTAACAGAAGATAACGCTGATCTAATCTCACAATTTAGCAGTCATGGGGATCTGAGATTCCTCATCTGTGCACAAACTGAACTGAGCAATTTTTAAGGGGTGGGGAAGTTAGAGTGTGACAGCTTTAAAGTCTCGTATTACTTCTGCTTTCTACAGGGAATGACCTGAGAAAAAATTGTTTCATAGGAATGTTTAGAGCTATTCCTTCATCTTGCATCCATTCTCAATATGGGAACACTTTTTCATTGCTGGAATGGCAAGTTGAAATGATTCAGCAGTGCATTATCCCAGTCAGTTAAGCTTGGGGGTATTAGTCCTTTCCTTCCTGGCTGCTTTCTTCTGGGCTGGAATTGAATCCCGGCCTGCCACTTAGCTCACTCCATGCAATTTGCTTAGCGGAAAAAAGTATGGCCAGCATAATGTCATTGCATAAGAGACAGAATTGGTATCCTCATCTATCAACCAAGATCCTTGGTGCTTTATAGATGTACAGGACCTGGAGAAGATCTGCTATAATTTCTGCGTTTTAGCTATTGCTATCATCTGTTGTTTTACAGGTAGAGTATTCTTATTCAAAATGGGATCAAAAGTGCTTTGGATTTCAATTGGAGAGGAGGTGGGTGGTGATGGAATACCTGTATTTGCATATGTACAAATAGTGAGCTCTCTTGGAGATTGGACCCAAGTCTAAACATGAAATTCATCCATGTTTTATATACACTTTATACACATGGACTGAAGGTAATTTTATACAATATTTTAAATAATGTTGTGCATGAAACAAATAAACAACAAACCATCCCAGCCACCCATGTGGCTACTTTTGGATTTTGGAGTATTTTGGAATTCTAGATAAGAAATGCTGAAGACAGCTGGACGTCCTATTGCATGGTTTCCCAAAACAGTTGTTCAGAATTTGTGGATTCACTGCTGGAGAACAGGATAGATTTTTCCATCTCCCAGATGTGAAAGATTTTAGAACTTGAAATTATTTGACTAAGGCTTGGCAACGAAAATGGAGATCCCTTTGGAAGGGTGTGTGTTTTGATTCCTCAGCACCACACCCCATTATTGCAGGTTTCTTCTGCTCTCTGGATTGTGCCAGCTATCCTTTGGTTCTGAAATCTTTCAATTGAGTTTTCCCGGTATTCTGTTGTGCAGGGGAAGTGTCAGAATTAGACATTAAGACTCTCAGGAAGCATAGCCACCTGCTCCTTTCTTGTGCAGCCAGCAACAGCGGGACAGTTGGTACTCTGATGGTGTTGCTGTCTGGTGTTCAAGTTATGTAATCTGCCAAGTGGGAAAGAGACATGTTTGCCTTCCGCTTTTTGCCATTTGTCATGAGAACAAATGCTCTCTTTTGGGACATTTCCAAGTGATCTGTAACATGCCATGCCACGGTGTCTCAGGAGAGGAAAAAGTCCTCCCACTGGCAGCTGTTTCCTCCTGTTTTTCACTGAACAATAAAGGTTCGGCAGTCTTATAGCTCCCTGAACCTGCTTCCATTGTCATTATGAAGTCAGGACTGAAGCTGCTTACTTGTATGATGCTATGGATTGATTTTGAGAGTTAGCTTTGGGAGCCAAAGTGGTTTGTGATATTTAAGGTGACAATGAGATGGATGTTAAAATAAATGACTCTCCTAGAATGCCATATGCCTTGTTTGAGAGGATCATAATCTGGTTTGTATAACCTCCTCATACTTTTCCCAACTGCCTCTCTTAAGGCTACTATGAGCAAGGAATTCCCCCATAGTTTTATCTAATTTGTTGTGTTGCCATTGCCACTTCTGCTGTTGTGTGCCTTCACATCATTGTTTACTTGTAATGATCTTAAGATGACTTTTGATTTCTTGGGAGGATTTGTACAGAGGGAGGTTGCTTTTGCCTTCCTGTGAGGCAGAGAGAGTGTGAGCTGCCTAAGATTACCCAAGAGATTTCCATGGCCAGGGAGGGATCAGTATTCTGGTCTCCCAAAAGGGTTTTCTTGGCAAGATTTGCTCAGAGAGGGTTTGCCTTTGCTTTCCTATCTGAGGAAATGTGTCTTGCTCATGATCACCCAGTGTGTTTTCATTACCATGGCGGAGATTTGAACCATGGTTTCCAGAGTCATAGTCCATTGGTAAAACCACAAAGCCATGCTGACTCTGATAGAGTGCTGTCATGCAAATCCAGAAGTGTTGTGTAAGATCACTGAATGACAGTTTCATCCCTATGAAGAAATCTCCATAATCTGGGTATCATACACTACACCAGGTATGGCTTAGATCCAATTCAGCTGATGCAGCTTAAGTGTGTGAGCCCCACCACATGCTCCTTTCTCATCTGCACCCCCCCTTGTCATCTTGATTCCCTTCCAGGTGCCTCTGACAGAAGTGGTGGAACCAGTAGACTTTGAGGAGTACCTCTCCAGCCACCTGCCAGATGCTGAGCCTGGCCCACTTCGTGACCTGGTTGAGTTTCCTGGTGATGACTTGGAGGTGATCCATGAACCCCGAGATTGTCGGACACTGGAACCGGGAGTCCCTGAAGATGGGTAAGTGGCATGATAAGTAGTTATTGATCACTTCGCTTCTCACTTCGCTTCTTCTGTTACCTAGTACTTTTCTCTTCCTGCAACCTTTCAATCCATTGTCCAATCATTCTTCCAGATATAAAAGTCATAGGATGTGCCAGTGTAAGTCAGTTGTGATTTAATAATCATATTTGGAATTTTTTTGGCAAGATTTGTTCAGAGGAAGTTCGCCTTTGCCTTCTCCTAAGGCCAAAAATTCAACTTGCCCGAGGTCACCCCCTTGCAGGCGTTCAAATCCAGATCTTCTGAAGCTCTTTCCAGCACTCAAAACAGCTACACTTTGCTGTCTCAGCCCTTAATTATGATCTTCCAAATTTATACCTTCATCACTGCAGGATATATTTCTCAAAGCCTATTTTGAATGACATTCTGGAGATGACATTTTGGAGGTAATACAGGTGTAGCTCACAGGTGGAAATCTTCTACGATCTTGCAATCTGATATTTCCAATGAGTTCTTTCTGCAGGTCTTCTCTGTAAAATATGTAAACTATAATTTCTTGAGGATTTTCATATCTACCCCTCTAAGGAATCCTGTAGCAAAGCAGCAGAGAAGAAGGAAAATAGATCTTGGAGTACTCTTTTTTGTATGATGGGAAACTAAGCTTCAGGAACATATTAAAATGTCACAAAAATAATGGCCATGAACTACTGCATAACCTTTCTCTGCTTGCTCACCACTAATGCACACAAAAGAGATAAAAGAGGAGAGTCTTATTTGAAGTAACACATACAATGGCTAATTAGTGAGGGAAGTTTGTGGCAAGGGACTAGATGGTCCCTTAAGTAATTTCAAAACTACACTTTTGGAGACAACCCAATATATTTTCAAATGGGCTTTTCAATGAGTTTCAGCTAGGAGTATGTACGTGAAGATGGTGAATTAAAAACTGGAGCAGAATCAAGTGTTGATCTGAAATTAATATTCTGCATATGCAGTACACTTCAGTCTTAAGGAAGAGAAACAGCAACACGTTCACTTATTTCTGTGTGTGTACCTGTATGAAACTGGATACCCTTTTCTGCATGAATGTAGCTCATAGATAGTTCATTCGTTAAGCCTGATTTCTGTACCAACCAACAGCTGAACCAATTTGGGTGGTTCACAAAACAAAAGCTGTAACATACACTAAATATAATTAGTATAATGAATAAAATAAAGTGATTCTAATTGTTGTGTCTATAGACTAAAGGCAAAATAAACCAAGAAAATAATTTAAAATGCAGTAAAGACTGAAAAGCCCAGAGAACAAAGATATGCATTTGCAATGGAGGTACATGTAAGAGGAGATACTAATTAGATAACCTGATTTAAGCTAAATACAATCAATTTAAGACTCTGAAGATTAGTACCAGCCCTTTTGAACTCAGAAACAGAGTGGAGGCCAGGGCATAACACTGTATTTTGATGTAATGTGAATAATACAATCCAATCCCAGTTAACTTTCTTGATGCTGAAATTCAGACTAGCTGAAGTTCCTTGACTATTTTAAAAGGCAGCCCCTTGCAGTGACCCAAACAGGAGGTTACCAGAATGTAGATGATTGCCTCAAGGCTACCCTGTCCAGTTGCTATATTAGCTTAAACAGATAAAAGATCCTCAAAGCATCTGTATCTCCAGTAGCAGTACTATTTACAAGGAAAAGTGAACTGAATGTGGTCCTTCAGAGCTCTGTAACACATTTGGTTCTTTGCCTTCTTGCAGGGGACAGATGAACTGTTTAGAGACAGAACATCTGTTTTGTCTGGATTAAGTCCCAGATCAATAAACTGAGACTTAA